TGTTGTTGTCTTTAGATTAGTCATCCATCCTGAAAGCAACAGAAACAATGGTCATGTAAAGGAAACCAGAGCCTTTGTGTCACTAGCCAGACACCCCAACTTTGGCTCTTCTTTCATCTTAAACCTCATCTAGCTAAAAGCAAACTCATATTGCTCAGCTCCACCTCCCATGTAGCCGACTAAGCCCTGGAATTCCTAGGAGACAAAGCACAGGAATAAAGAAATCAGTCTATAAGTTTATAATCAGCCAATTTTGCTGTTAAAGGCCGAGCACACTTAAGTATGTGTCATCACACCACTATATGTTTGCTCATCTCATTTTATGTAACCCTGACCAACAAAGCCAACAAAAGAAAAACACACAGGTATAAGGTCAGTTCAAGGGGTCACCAAAGGGCTCAGAAGCACAGGATCAGCAGATAGCACACTTCACAGGTTGCTAAGATACTTTAATCTGGGGAAAGAATCAGAATTCAGTTTATGTTAAGAGGTTTATCATTCCGTGCCCTGATCCTTCGACAAAGATAGTCCATAGAAATCTTAGCTTTGCAATTATATGGATGAAGTAATTGAAGACAAGATAACAGAAAAGGTTTGGGCAGGAAAGATGATAGCTTAAGAATTTGCTAAGTCACTTGACTAGAATCATCTTGAAACTTGCTTGAGGCAAATATAACTTGTTTAGGATGGAAAAAAAATATCCTAAGCCATAATCTTCTACTGTGCAGCTTTGCACCTAGTGGACTAATAGTGATCAGATAATGTAGTTATAAAATATATGAAAGGGAAAGGAACACTGATACCACCAGTGCTTCGCAAAACGTCTGCCTCTGCACACTGTACACAAGGTTGTTTCTCCCAAGTACCAACCAGGGCAACCCTGCTCAGCTTCTGTATCAGGGTAACATGGACAGAGACCATTTGCTATTCCTTGAAGTTACTTACTTTTTACATGAAAAAAGAAAAAAAAATGCAGTTTCCATGTTCACTGTGCAAGGGACGACCATGGAGAGAAAGATGCCTTTTTTAAAGACTTTGTGTTAAGTTTTGTACTTTGTGTATAAATCTAATGAGAAAGATGTACAGCATATAGCAGCTGTATCCTTTTAATGTTACTCAGTTATTTGTAGCTTGTTCTGTTTGGTAATGATTTTTTTCTCTTTCTTTCAATGATAAACAAGAGTTGGTTAGTGTAGGAGAAAGATGCACTAAAGGGTAGATACAGATAATGAGGACATTTCATTCCTAAGACTTAGGTTCCTGAGAAGGAAACCCTCAAGAGAAACCTCAGCACAACAACCAAAGGGAAGACACTGATATCTATTCGATGTTCTTACCTAAACCACAATCCACAGTCAGTGTGTGTCAGCTCTGCCTATATTGAAACTACATATCTATCACACTATAGATAAAAATTCTACCTTTTTCCCAACCGAAAATCTTTGTCTGAATGACACTTTGTCTTGAGACACAAATTTTCATTGTTTCCTTTAACACATAATATTTCTTCACTCTTTGTGATATATTTCTGAAAAAATATGACCATTGTCTTTGCTGTGTTTGGTTTGTTTGTTCTGTTTTGAGATTGGGTCTTCTGTAGTTAAGGATGGCCTTGAGCTCCTAATCCTCCTTTCCCCACATCCCAGGTGCTGAATGATGAGTGTAAGCCACCACATCAAGCTTATAGGTCACAGTTTTTAATAACAGCAGAGAGAAGTTTAAATGTATGACATGTTAAGAGATGTGTGTGGGTAGATTGAGGTTCTACCCAATGTGAGGGAAAGGAGCAATAGCTCCCTACAGCATGTGCCTATTTAGCATCCATATCTTGGTTTCTAAGAATCTCTTCTCACTAAAAGTAAGCAACAAACCTTAGAGAAATGGCCAACGACTGTGTTGAAGCGGATACTCTGTTAGGAGCATACTAATAAACAAGAAATTGCTAAATTGCACAAGTTAGTTGTATGTTTGAATGGGCATTATAAAGAATGAGTTATATACTCAGAGAAAGGTCATCTTTTGGTTTAGTATTTTGGGAAAGACCCAAAATAATGATCATTCAAGCTATGACTCAAAGAAGGAAAATCTAGCCCTGTGAAATGTAGAGAATTAGACACAAGGGAGGGGAAGTTAAAAGACTTGATGTCAAAATGCTCATTCTTCATAGAAAAGTGAAAACCCTATGTCTGCGCTATAACACTGTCCAGTGCTAGTGGGGTGCCAGGGTGGCTGGGGAGAATGTGAATGGACATCACACGAGATTGCAATGACAGCCAGACTTCATAAACCAGGTAATTTGGATTTTATTTTAGGTGGAATCAGAAAGCTCTGTGAGAGTTCACATGGGTAGTGACATGATCTGACTCCATGTTCAAAAGAACACTCAGGCTGCTTTGTGAAAAATAACTTAGAGGCAGTGTGGGAAGGAAGGAAAGAGTTACGAAAGGCAGGCAAGGAATAAGAGTGCTGTCAGCAGGGTAAAATATATGGATGGATTCAGATTACATTTCAGATTTACGAACTCCAGGATTTATACGAGATTAAATATGTGATGCAGCTGAGGAAAAGGGAGGGTTAACGGATGGACAATGTGCACCTTTCTATTTTGGGATTGGAATAAAAGAGGAAAATCAACAGCTCTACTCAGGGCATGGTCATTTTGATGAGTGTTTTAGACACCAAAAATGTAATATTTAAGTGAGAGCCTCCACATCATTCTTTCAAAGAGGAAGAGTTAAAGGAAATCTTGGTTGTCTGTAAATTTAAATAGTGGATTATGCACTTAGGAAAGATGAAATCTTGAGATCAACTACAATGATATATGAGACAAATTATAAGAAATTTTAATTTTTAAGACAGTCCAAAATCTGCAGTTGAATAAAAGAGAATGGAAGACATACTTCAGAAATAACTTTAGAGCAATAATAATTCAAATAAGAATGTCTTTGAAGGTATTATGCAATCTCCTTCAACTAAGACATTAAAAATGGGACTATATAAAGCCTGTTTTCAGAGACAGGAAAAAATATATTACAGAGGAGATGTAATAAATGCTCTGAAGTTTTTACACATATGACTAATGTTTATAGAGCCAAATCTAGTGATCACTGTGCTTTTAGTTTTTCCATAGTGTTCACTTTGCAATTTTTTACAATTGGTAGAGGTGAAGTTACATGGGCAGTATAATTTTTAAAATGCCGTATCTGGAAGTTTTCATAAAACTAAACTAAAAATATGAAGAATCACAACTCACAAAAAAATGGGGAAGTGCTGAGCAGAGACAGAGGAAAATTGGGTTACCATGATTTTTTTTTTTGGGGGGGGGAAAGCATATCCACCTCTACTTGAGTGAAAATGAAATAGACATTAGAAGACATTAAATAGCATTTGGCTAGATGATATCAAAGATATGAATAAATGATTTTGATCTTTGTTACAAATAGGTTTATCTCAAAACAACCTCAATTGTAGACAAATGTACTTTTCTCAAATCTTATACATTATTTCCAGTTTTAAGGTGAAATCTTGACATTATGTTTATTTTATGCTTTCCTCACTGAGAATTTAGCTTTTATAGAAAAGTTGTTTGGGGAAAATCATATTCTTGATACAGAACATTGCTCATCTTTGCTTAAGGTACATAAACATTTAAAAATGGATTTCCATGAAAAAGGTTTCACGATAGCATTTACATGAAGCCAATGGTTTCAGTTAAAAGTAGGTGTGGCTTTTTGTATACTGATAACTCGATTTCTTTTTGACAATATAATGAATCTGGGAATCAGAGTATCTCTGTGATTCCGCAGCATTCCTCCTCTATAAACTGTGAGAGCTTTTTAAATGCCATGAAAAAAAAAGGCATAAGAAAAATCAATGCCAAAATGAGTAAGTGAATGATGGTCACTGGGCTGCATAGGTCATCATTAGGCCGGACATGATTGTAAACAAATTCTCGGGGTTAGTCACCTATTTGCGCGTCGTCTCCAGTAAGAATAGAAATTACATTTACTACTTTTATTTGCATAGTGTGTGAAAGAACCAGAATGTGGGCACTAGAAAACATGAAGAGGAGGAAGAAAGAATCATCGAACAGTAAAGCAATCTGGTGACAATGGGGGCCTTTGCAAGGCTGCAATTCCATTATACTCTTAAGAACCTCAGAAAACTGCCCCATCACTGAGGAAACACAGGCCTCCCAAAAGAAAACAAGACATAAAAGCCAGCACAACCAATAATGACACTTGAGAGGACTTCTATGACACACGCTTATAAAAGAAAGCTCCACACAGAGAGTGGAATGTGTCACCTTGATCTAGTGCAGGGCTGCTTAAACTTTGTTCTTGCGACCCCTATTCACCCAACAAACATTTACACAATGTTGCTTATGAAGGTATATAAAATAGGCATACACACAAAACATTTACAGACAATAAATCACCAAGAATTTTCTAAAGAGAATTCTTTGGCATCTATGTAATTTGATGATTTATTTAAAATGAAAGCAAATGTATACATTAAAATACATACGCTTATGTATTTTTTCATAAAGTTACCTTGGCTGTGTATGTGGTACTCTAGGATGCAGATTTTTTTTTATCAGAGTTGCTCAACAATCTTCAATGTAGAGAACACCACTCTGAATAAACATGAAATGGCAGAAGTATGTTCAGGACCACCTCAGAAATTATTGGAAGGACTGTCCTAATCAAAGAATGAAATTCTCTTCAACAGTTTTTTTTTTTTATGAAACTCAAGTCAGTAACTCAAAGAGCACTGTCTCAAATCAAAGCATATCCAACACAGATAATGCAAGGTATATTAATTTGATACAGGCTAAGAAATGAAGGCAGAAAAATAATAATGCTCTTTGTTTTCCATAATTAAACCGCCATATTTCTGGGAAGGCAGAAAACATTATATGTACAATGAAACAGTGCAATAACTCAGCAATCCAAGCTATGGTGTTCAGTGCTCATAGGTGTAGGCAGTGTGACAACAGGTGCAGTGTAAAGTGCACATTATTTATTGAGAGTTAAAGGTACAATAAATTTACAAAATGCAATGTGGGTGAGCACTGCCAGAAAGCTAAGATTTCTTTTATGTCTTATTTTGAATTAATTTTCTTGTCATTGTGCATTTAGAAACATTTACTTTTGAGAACATTTTTGTGACTCCCGCTTTGAGTTATGAAACCCAAAATAAGGCTGCCACCCACAGTTTAAGAAACTGGAGTTTCAGATATAACATATCTGAACACAGCATCCCAATGTTATCTTCTATTAATCTTCATTTATAACCAAAGCAAGACTTGCATTGTATCACATCAACCCTCGCTGAGGATGGACTGCAGAATTTTCCTCTGATGTATTACATCCAGGAAATGAAGAGCGATAACTGTGGAACGCTGCTGTGTGCCCCAAATTTGGCCATATTATGTAGCTCTCCATTACGAAACCACATCTTCTTAGAAACAGATTCTGTTTGCAGAAATGAAGGGAAATTAAGAATATATTTAATTTTTTTAGTAATGCAAAATTCTCTCCCACTTTAATCCATTATCCTGGGCCTCACACCACAGGCAGCTTGAGCTAACACTGAGGAGGAGAGGCAGGAAGGATCACAAGTTCAAAGCCAGCCTCGGATAACTACTAAGTGTGAGGGGAACATGGACTACTTAGAGAAACCACAATTCAAAAATACAGAAATACAAATTAGTTAAGTGATTAATAGTAAATAAGTAAACTTAACATACACACACACACATATATATCCAAATAATTTTTACTATAAAATAAAAAATGGAACCTAACACATTTTATTATTTATTTGAGCAGTTACAATGCAGTCACCAGAGAAAATTTGGAATTGAAATCACCCACTGTACTTTCAAGATGCTCAACAACCCCAGAATGAATTTCCCATCATGATCATAAATGAGAGAAAAGTTCCAGAGCAATTTCATACTTTTCAAAATGGAAGTGAATGAACAGAGGAAACCATTATTTCTAAAAGCAACATCTAATCCAATAGAACAGATCGTCATGATCTTTGTATTAGAAACCAACATTTGAAAAACCGTCCAATGACTTTGACATGCTCAGGTAATGTATACCTTGAATATAGTCCATTTATTTCAGACAGTAACAAATCTCATTTAGTTTGCTTTTGTACAGACTGAGTAATAACAGCCCTCTCAGGTATGCATCTGAGACCTGAAAACTTCCCTATAATACAGCTTCTAGCAAGTCACACAGAATGTGTAGTATTACCTACGTGACCACCATTAACCTCTCCTTTTGTGACAACCTTTCCAGCAATGGAAAGAAGAACCTTACTTTTCAGTTTTTAAAAATGAGAGGATTGAATTTAATGTCTGTATTCTGATTGGATGTAAACATGGTGTCATTTCCTGATGAACAAAAATCAAGTTGTCTATATGCAGACTACGGTCATTTAAATTCTCAGTCTCACTTATTGAAGCATAATGTGGGAATGATAATTACATACACTTCATATGGAGAATGTAAATTCTGAATCCTATAAAGACTGAGGAATATTTCCACCTGTCCTATAATGAGAAGTCAATACTTAATACATGTTTATTGTTATTGCGTGAAATATCTACTGTCCTTGACAGTAAATAATACATGCAAATAAATCAAAGAGATCTGATTCTTCTTATTTCTCTGTATCCTTCAGTTAGTTCCTAGTATATGATTAGTACTTAGTGTGTGGTACTTGTATTACTTTATATTATAATCTTCGAATGTATTAGGTTTCTCTTGTGACTCCTCTTTATTTAAAAAATAAGTTATGTGGTAAAAATGAGTTTGAAAAATGTAAGGCAAATATAAGCGCATTGTTGGCCTCATTAACAAGCTAACATCTATTAGAATTCATCAATAGCAACTATGCAGCTTTCCTTTTGCCCATTTGTTCAGACTGCCACATCCACAACTTTCCATTCACATAGTTTTCCAACAAGGCCTCTAATGGTTTGCTTAGCTTTAATTCCTTGAGACATCAGTGACATGCAAGATCATCAAGAGAAGTGACTACATTTCTGAACCCCTCCCCTATAGGAGAGTGCATACACTCTGAAAACTCTTAATGCCTTTCACAGAACACCCTTCAAGGCTAGTGAGGTTATGGAATATAGGTCTTTTTTTTATCAGCCTGGCTCACATACTGATTGTTGATAGTTGGAGCCCTTCCTTCTGAGTTGCTTCTCAGATCCATCTGCATGGGAGTTCCCTAAACATGGGACCTCAAGTATTGTTTGCAGCCTCTGTGAATATTCAGTTAGATGTTGAGAGCAGAAATCTTTACCTATGAGAAACAGTTCCCTCCAAACCTGCTCCATTCTCCAGTTCAGATGCTCAGACTCCCACTCATACCCTCCACTTGAAGACAGCATCTGGAGCAAGAAACCCTAATCTGACAGAAATCCCATTGTATCTCCTCCAGAAATGTCTAAGCTGACCATCATCCATTCAGGGTGGAATTTTCTATAATAATGAGAATATTGTCTGATAACCCAACAATTTGAGTGGGTCAAAACTCTGGAAAGACTTAAGTCTCTTAAGGACTTCTGAAGAGTTGATATTCTACAAAAACAATAAGAGCAAACTCTTTAATTATATTTAAATTAACGGAAAATAATAGTCTTGGATATTTAGAATAGCACTAGACCTATTGACAAAATAGTATGTGAGAGTATATTTCAGAATGCTGTTATATCTATTGCTACTATTTTACAATAAAATGATAATTATGTTTGTTTGTGATACAATCAATTGATAAAGATATGGGCTTTGTCATCACATAATTTTGTTACAAGTGAACCTTGAACAAATAATTTTGAAGTAAATAGCATATAGTCTATAGTTTGATATTAATAATTTTTAAGTTTGTTACATTTATTATTTTAGAGAAGAATGTGTCATGGCATGTGTGTGGAGTAGGTTATCTTACCATGTGAGCCTCGGAGGTCAGACTCTTGTTGTCTGGTTTAGTGGTTAGTGTCTCTACCCTCTGAGCCAACTGTTCTCACCCTTCCTAATGTTGAGACCATTCAATGCCATTCCTTACGTTATGGTGACCCCCAATCATGAAATCATTTCATTGCTATTTCACAACTGCAATTTTTTACTATTATGAATTATAATGTAAATATCTGATACACAGGATACCCAATATGTGACCCCCAAGGGGTGTAACCCACAGGTTGAGAACCACTGCTCTGAGCCATCTCATCAGCCTAAGTAAATGTTTTCAAATACCAAGCAGCAAGGGAAATAAAGTTAATGTCTGTTAATAACAACCTTATACTTTATTTGAAGCATAAATGCAAAGAAGAAGTAGTCTTAGTTTCAACTTAAGAATCTAGTTGAACAGGGTATGGTAGCACAGGCCTTTAAATCCCTGCACTCAGGAGGCAGAGACAGGTCTCTGTGAGTTCACTATCAGCCTGGTATACATGGTGGGTTCCAGGCCAAATAGGGCTATATAGTGAGGCCCTATCTCACAAAATAAATACATGTATTTAAAATAAATGAAGAACTTCCTTGACCTTCAAATAGACATAATGTTCACGGGTAAGCAAGGGAATCACTGGCAGTTCCTCCTGTCTCTCTTATCACCCCATTCAATCCAATCACCATTTCAGACAGGGATAGAATGCAGTCTGAGTGTTGAGCAACAAAGTCTGAAAGTGACGGTTTCCTTTCTCAGGGATTACATTATAATTGATAATAAGGTTCAAAAGGGAAGAACACATTTTTGAAATGTCCTGTGTTTTATTTTGTACTTTTGTCTTTGGGACGGTTTGCTGTTATTTTAGGATTTCCCCCGAGAGGTGTTTGCTCACAGAATGCACAGGAAGATGAATATCATGAATCAAATACCTCGTGTCACCAGCACTTCCACCAACCCATCAATCCCCATCAGCGAAAAACTTCCGATTCACACCGTAGCCTCAAGACTTGACGTCACTGCTCTCCGTGGTTTTAGCGCTAGTGCAGACCGAAGCGTATTCCTCACATCCGGGCCCAGGTCGCAGCTTAGATGCGATGCCTAGTAAGAAAATTTTACTGGGTTTATGTTTTGTTGTCAAAGGTAGTGATAATAATCCCCTCTACAGAACTTTAGTTTCAGAATGGAGCCTGAGAACAAGCTACAGGCCACACCCAAGGTCAGGGTCTCTTTGTCAAAATACATGACCCACTGCCTCCCAGAGTCAGCGGACAACACACAAGTCCAGCCAAGGGTCTTCTGCTTTGAGGCCAAGTGAAGAGCATCATTTATTTAAATAATTCAAGTCATTTCTTTAAAGTATAAATTTATGAAGTGCCTATGAAATCCCGGGAGCTGAAGTGACCACTAGAGGAAAGATACAATAAGCCGGGGGCAAACAAAGAACATGGGATGTGAAAGTAAGGAGATGCTAGGAATGGAAAGGTTTAAGCCAGCATAGGAAAGAGGAGAGGGATCAGGAAGAGTTAACAGTGTCTTCTAGAGATGAGAAGCCATGGCACTCATAAACTCACTGCAGATGTGGTGATCTGCTCCAGACCTGCACAAAGACCGGATCTGTCACCGTTTCATCATGTGTTAGGGAGGGACTGGTGAAATCCCTACCTCCCACTGACTGTAAATGAGAACTGGAGGAGAGAATGTCATCTTCTTCTGTGATGTAGCCGCTCATACGTGTCCACTTTCTAGAAATTAGCCGGCCACTCATCCTTGTGCCAGCAACCATAATTAAACTCAGTGGATGGAAAAACCATGACATCGAGTAGAAGCGAGCTTGTTGGGAAAGCAGTTTCCATGGGACAGACTATGAATGAGAATGAGAAGGGGTGACAGGGTAGGGGTGTGAAAATGTGCCAAACTCAGGAAATGCATGTGTGAAACTGTTAAAAATAAAAGCAAATCAGCAAAGAGCTTCAAAGTTAGGAAGACACACCAGCTTAAAGCCAACATTCGAAATGCAAATTATAGTTCCTAAATATTTCTAATGAGGGGGCACATGTGTTAAAATATACTTCCCCCAGAATTATGTTTCAGATCATTTAAAAGACGAACATGGGGTGTCTATTAAGCCATAGATCAAAAGAAAAACTTAGCATCCACTACTGACGTTCCTGTAGCAGGAACCTCCTCCCTTTTTATGCATAGAGGTGAAAATGGACTCAAAGTGCTCATTAAGATCTGAGAAACAAATACACCTTTACCTTAGGCAGCTAAAACTAATGTGCGCATAATTATTACAGAAGGTTTTCAAATGAGTGATATTTTAAGAATCAGAGCAATCTTAATTATGTTCCTCTTCTTCTCACTAATTTAATACATATATCCATCACTACAGTTCATTTATACCTGTGTATTAGAACTATTGAACCTCAGGTCTTTCACATATTCAAAAGTTGCCTTTTAATCTTATTAAACTGATTTGTAAGAATTTTTTCCTGAACTTTGGAATGGTGTCAGACTTTCAGAGAAACTGAAACAATGAGAACATGTTTATAAATACATGTGTCCACCAAAAACCTAAATGAAGTACACATACTATTATATATGCATACTGCTTCACATGAGCTAAATGTAAAGGAAGATCTTCTGATAGCATAATCATTCTAAGCCAAGTAAGTCTTTACATTTCATTTACATTTTTTTCTTTTTTGACTATGGTAAAACATTATATTAAAAAGCAAAGGAAGAAGAGTTACCAAATCTTGTGTGTGTTACTAACTTCCTGATGCTACCCACCTACCAGCAGTTCCAGCCATGTCCTTAACCCTTGACCCTTGACCCTACATGTACTCACTGCTTGAGAGCAGACACTGATGCTGAGGAGTGCCGGGCTTCCGATGGCACTACAGCTAAGGCTTCTCACTTCAGGGAGGTTGAACGGCGCTCATTGCAGACGTTTCCCCTTTTTGTTGCAAACTTCTGTGGAAAAGGATCCACATCTGAGTCTCATTCTCATTAGCAGCCCTACTTTTGATTGTCCTCAAATGAGGCACCGTTTAGTTTGTGGAGTCCTAGATTTTATGACAAATCCTATCTCTAGCTCCTTTACCATAAGCGACTGTAGAATTCAGTGAGGAAGTGGGAGGGAAATATGAGTGGGAAAATGGAAAAATCAATTTTATCTCCTACAATCACAGGAAATAAACCCTGGGTTATCCTGCTTTATCACATTGGATCTGACTCATCAAATGGAAGATGTTTTATCACGCCAGCTTATTCATAAAACATCATGTATTACAGTCTATGGCAAACTGGAGGTATTGGGTGAGTCACTGAGCTCTTCATCAAAGTTCATTTAGAAAAAGACATTATCCTTTCTTCCTCTACAGAATATGAAAGACTTAGAGAAGAAAAATAAACTCTATGACTTTATCAGTATTAGTCACAATGCACCTCTTTACTGTGTGAGGGGCAGTTATTTTGTCCCAAAATAGAAGCCAATGTTCTAAGAACTAAGTGACTTCAATAATGTCCCAGAAACTGAGCCACAGAAAGAGATCATGGTCTTTCGGTTACCTGTCCTAGGCACAGCCCAGAGGAACATACTGCTCTCATAAGGATATGTAACTGATAATAGGCCACTGACTGCTCTTTCCCACAAGCAATAATAAACTACATGCTTCTCTGTGTGCAGAAAGCTTTTTCTTGTCCTCTTGTTTTAGGATGGTATGTGTGAATAAACTGTGACACCTTGGTGTTCAAAGAAACCTTCCCAAAGTGGGAGAGGAACCACCAAACTTAGCATTTGCTTTTGAGTACAGACAGATGAAGCAGGGCTTTAAACTACTTAGAAACTGCATCCCAAATGTAAGAAATGATGTTTGTCCCCAAACAAAGTCATATGATAAACACATGTGCTTGTAAAACAGCCCACTCCAAACCACGCACTGAAGTGAAAAGTGAGTTGAAGATGTATTTTATTTGATGAGCCATGTACAAATCTTAGTGTATGTTCACAACCTCATTAAATATATGGCAGCCCCTTTGGAACAAACCAAACATGGTCTCAAACTTCCTCAGCCTATTTTGGGAAAAAGAACTACTGGGCAATCTGAGCTCCAGGCCACAGGCCAACCACAGGAGCCACAAGCATGGCTGGTTGGATAAATTTAGAAACCAAGAGTGCAGTTTTTGGATGTTCCTTAGGAGTCTAGAGGTAGAGCAAAGAGCAATTACTTGGGGGTGTTGGTCTATTTGTTCATTTATGGCACATTTTAAAAGGTAAAGCTGTAGAATTGCAACTGCTTCCAAGTCTACACCCTAAACTCACCTATGCATGAGGACCATTAATAAAAATCTCAGCTGGCAAGGTAAAACCAACAAAGTTCAGCTCTGCCAATACCCACATGAAAAGTTATGTATTCTCAGTAGCATAATAATTCTTGACCTGTGCCATCAATGTCCTAGCATCTTATAGTGTCTCAGAACAGATTTCCTCCAACTAGCTTGTGAGAGTCTCTGCGGGTAAATGGATGTGTCCTTGGGGACTCAGGTCATCTCATAATTTTTTCAAAGTTAGATTTTCATTGCTCTGATAACCTTTGAAAACTTAATACAAAATATTCTGGATCATCGGCAGGATCCCAAACTGCCATTTGATTTGTGCTTACAAACAAATTGATGCCACATGGTATTTCTAGAGGGAAAAAGAAATGGCTTTAATATATAAACCATGTACTTACCCCCAAATGAAGGCCAAATGCTGTCATGATTTACTGTACAAAAGAAGTTTTCACAGCAGTTCCCAAAGGGCAAATTGGGGTGAACTGAATCATCACATAGCTCTGAATAAAGCACACCCAGCAGCCCCTGCCTTCCAGAAGGCAGCAAAGGCAGTTCTTTGTGCCAGGGTACCAGTTTCCACTCTCATAACACACGGCGTAGAGGGATGCTCGGCAGGATCAGGAGCTGCTCATGGATGTTTTCTAGGGTCATAGGAAAAATTTAATCTCTAAGCAGGTACCAGATTACAAAATCAAAAGACTGGTCAGAAACATTTGAAACAAAAGACTACTAACAGAGGCTTTGTAGTGGAAATTAGATCTCTTGATTTGAAACCCAATATGCTGCTATTATAGATGTCTGAGCCCTCTCAGAAAGCAGATCGCCTATTCTGAAATGGGAGGTCTGAGCTCCTGCTGTACAAAGGTGAGGGAAAGGTTTTAAAGAGAGTGACACACCACAAAGAAAGTAGCACACACCTAAAGAGATAGCTTCTGTGCAATCTGGGACGTGGGGAGGAGCACATTCCTGGACTCATAGGAAAGAAAATCTAAACTTTCCTAAAATGAAGTAAGCTGATGTATAGGTAGACAATACAAGTGAGTCACAGATCTTACCTGAAGAGAAGGGAGTTTAGACGGATAACCACAGTGGAGACAGGACTCTGATGAGCGCTCACACTGAAAGCAGAGAACACATAGAGTTAGTCGTAACTGTGTAATACATGCTAAACACCCACACGCAGTATGAGTCGTGCTAACTTAAATGATTGAGGTGATGCTTTCCAACTCATTCTCCTGTCAGGAAGTCACAAAGTACCCTGGCAATGTCTTTGCAGACAAATATGGAGAAATTGTTTTTAACTGAAAGTATGCATTATTGTGCCTTTTAAAGGGGGAAAGAGTGATGTCCTACAAATCACCTCAAGAATCACAAGAGTTCAAGACGAAAGGCTAAGATGGCCTGAGCAGTAAAGTGCTGCTTTAGAAGCACAAGGACCTAATTTCAGATCCCCAGCACTCACATAAAAGGCCTGGTGTGGTGGCACATGCTTATAATCCCAGAGCTGAGGCATCAGAGACAGAGGGATTTGGGGGGCTTGCTCTCCTGCCCCACAGCCATTGGTGAACTCTAAGTTAAGTGAGAGACTGTGTCTCAAAAATATAAGTTGGGAAAAGATTGGAGAAAATATTTCATGTCAACCTCTAGCTTCCATACACATGAACAAACTACAAACACACACACACACACACACACACACACACACACACACACACACACACACACACACACAACTGAACCTTTGACAGATAAGTGGCTTTGTTAGCCATTGACGGAGCCCAAACTCCTGGAGTTATTAATAAGAAACCACATGTATGAATGCTATTTCCACTGAAGAGAAATTTATACATAATCAGGGATGTATCATCTGCTTTGAATGTTTTGAGATCTGTGTCATAAGCCAGCCTGGGAAGCTGGGTCTGGACAGTCCAACACCCCCCAGGACATGTACAGCTTTCAGCTGCAAACCTGAAAATTAGGAAAGTAGATTTCAGCTCAAAACTGAAATGTTGCAAGCTTCAAAGTGAATTCTGCATGATGGAATCTTCAGTGGAATTGCTTTAAGAATGTGTTGAAGTTCAATAGCTAAGTGTATGATCTCAGTTTCAATCAATTAGAACTGTGAAATGGCTTGTAACTTTACCAAGCCCCACCCTAACTCAAGATTCCATTACGATTTAGACACAGAGAGTCTTGTAATAGCAAAAGAAGATGATGAATGTATAACATGAAAAGATCAGTCTTAGCCGCAGTTTATGTTCAGCTGGGAGAAAGTTCTGTATTCTGGAAAGTTAGTTAAGCCAAGTTCTAGACTTTCAGAATGTTCTGCTCTATTCATGCACAGTTCTGCAGGATCATTTGCTTCCTCTTCCTGGACTTTGTGCTGAGGACATGGCTTATGTGTCTCCCTTACTTTGTAATGTATCTGCAGGTTTCAGGGGAAAATGGATAATAGGGTATTTATTCATGGATATAATTTTTCTTTCCTTTTTCATTCTTAAACTCTTATAACTTTATTTCCCTAGGTAGGGATAGAAGCCAGGCAGAAATTACTTAAAGAAAAAAAATGACATTAAGAGTTCAATTTGAGTGTCAAAAGCAGAAGAAACTTGGCATTATAAAAGGATCATGAATTCACAGCTGATATTATCTATGGTATTTTAACTTAACATACACTTGAAAATTACTAGAAATTCATTTTTAATCTGAAATAAATATGCAATTTAATATAAAGTATTTAAAATAAAATTAAACATCATCCATTAGGTTTGTTTC